TGCAGTTTCTCTCCTTTTTCTACAAATAGGTTCAAACATTAGGCCGGGTGCACATTGCTTGAAATAGTTGGGCCTCGAATCTATGTAAGCGTGATATATATATTAATATTTAGTGATTATTTATAACACATAAAGTGCACACATTTTAAATAGATTATAAAAAATTATAGATTTATAACGAATTAAAAAAAAAAAAAACACGGGTCGTCTCGGTTCGGACCCAAAAAAGCTCAGACCTATTTTGCTCAAGCCGAACTCGAGCTTTGAGTTTTGGCTCATGACTCGGCTCGACTCGAATCGTTGATATAGCTATTTACTACCCATCTTGTTTTAATGGACCTGCTATTAAAATACTACATAATGCAGTTTCTCTCCTTTTTCTACAAATAGCTTCAAACATTGGGCCGGGTGCACATTGCTTGAAATAGCACCCGGAGCTTAGATACATTCGCACAGGTAACTATGACGTTTATTTTAGGTATTTTTTGTATGTACAACTTTATTGTTATACCTAAAATAATTACTTATCTTGATAATTCACCTACTTAACTTTAAAGAAAGTTTTACTGTCAAGTGTCAAACCTAAGTTATTTATTATTTTCTTCTAACTAATTGATTGACTTGAATGCCTTGTGTTAATAATATTAGCATTTTCCCCCATGTACAGAAATATTCCCACAAAATTTCACTAGAATTCTCACAATGAGTGGACCCCACCATGTATTAAAAAAAAACTGCGAGACCCGCGTGCGTGCGTGTGTTCTGGTGAAATTCTGTGACTTCTTCTTCTGTACTGTTCATAATATATTATAATAAATAGACGTAGCCCCCTATTTTGGTAAGAATTAAAGTCAGAATTTTAGTAAATTTTGATAAAAATGAATGAAATGTGTTGTTGAAAAATTATAAATTTCATAAGATATGTGGTTAAAATTAATTATTAAGCTTAATTTATATTAAAATCTAAATTTTAATCCAATCAAACATGGGCATAATCAACTTTAGTAAATAATAAAAATAATATAGTATTAAAATTCGTAAGTTTCTTGATATGCTAATTATAAATTTATAGTTTTGTAGTCTACTAAGATAGTAAATTTGTATAAATTAAAAATATAAATTTAACCAATAGTTACTAATTAGTACTAGGGATTGGAAAAAGAATCGGAACAAATTGAACCGAGTCAGACTTGGCAAGTTCGGTTTGTTTCTCCTTAAATTTTAATTAACTCTGGTGCTTAGAAACAAGAACCGGTTGATCCTTGGTTTGAATTTGGTTTTAGTACCCGAAACCAAGAACTCGGAACCTGTTCTAACCCAGCTATGTTCAGTTAATTATGTTAAATTATTGATTTGGTAAATATTTTTATATTGTATAATATTTTTGTATGAAGATGGAATTTTCATTTGCATTGATTATTGAACGAGGCTTATTGTATTGACTTTAGATGTGAGTATCAACGGTTGATGATAGAACTTTGAAATCGAACTATTTTGAATCATGTCCACTCATAATTCGTACTTAAACATGATACATAGTTTTCAAATAGTAGATAATTTGGTACTTAGGCCATCTCCAATCCAACACCAATTTGACGTAAGAAGACATTTTGGTATGAAATTTGGCCTCCAATCCAAATTCATATCTTCGACACTAAATTGAAGTAGAACAGTATTGCACCATTTTTTATTTCTATTATATGATTTTTATAGCTTTTTAATATTTAATGATTTAATTTATTTATATTTGTTTATTGTTTTTATTAACATTTATAATAAATGGGTTAATTTCCCAAACGGTCACTGAAGTTTAAAACTTGCAGAAACGGTCACTGAAGTTTAAATTTCTTTAACAAACGGTCATTGAATTTTCAGACTTTTGGCGAGTTTTGCGACAATTTTCCGACAATTTCTGACCACCAAGACCGCCAGATTTGAATACCGTTGGAAAGCCCACAATATCCTCTTCAATTACCACCAAAAATCTCCCCAAAACTCCAAGTGATTCGGCCGGAATAAACCCACGAATTCAGCTACCCAAACTGGGCAGATTTTCGGACTTTTTTGGTAGTTGACTTCGTGGGTTTATTCCGGCCGAATCCCTTGGAATTATGGGGAGATTTTT